TTCAGAATGCAAGCCCAGTGGTTATAACATGCCTGCTTTAGCGTGCAAGTTGAGCATTGGTGGTCCACATTATTCACCATTTTAGCTCCGTACCTGGTGCAAGACTACTCTGCAGCTCCATTTTATTAGTGGTGGGATGAGTACTTCAGAGTGAAAAAATACTGGTTGCATATGCTTACTGTAAATAAAGGCTCACAAGGTGCAGTACATGTGTTTAGTGTGGAGGCTCAGTAATGATGTGATAGAATCTCCAGAATGCAAGCTCAGTAGTCTGGAACACCTGTTCTAGATTACTAGTTCAGGAGTGGTGGGAAGCATACTCTATAGTCCAAAGTCAGTATTGCACCATCAGTGTTACAGAGCAAAGCCTTAGGAGTAGTGGAATTCATGCTTCTGAGTGCAAGAATAATGTTGTAAATGCATAGTCAATCTAGTGCATGGAGTGATTAGTAGTAGCACACTGGCTTAGTGTCAAGCTCACCTGCGGTGTGACATATCCTTTAGAGTGAAGCTCAGTAATTTCAGGAGTCATATGTTATAGTCATGCTTCAATAGTGGTGAGATGCATGCTCTAGATTGAAGCTTAGTACTTGCAGTACATAAATCTAGGCTGCACACTCACTAGTTGTGGCATGATAACTTTAGACCTCTGAATCTGTAGTGACTCTGAATCCGGTGCACTATAAAACGTGGATTTAAACATGCTCCTGGGGGCAAGCCTTGTGATGGTACCACAGCTGACAGAAGCCTGGGCTTAGTGCTGGAAAGGCACCTATTCCAGAGATCAAGGAAAATATTCGGGGTGTGCCAGATTTAGAGCACAAGGTCAGTGATTGGGACATTTGATATAAAATGCAAGATCAGTAGCAGGAAATGCATGCTCTAGAATACAACTGAACAATTTTAGCTATCCTGTTGTAGATCATGGGCTCAGTCATAGAGGAAAGGGTGCTCTAGAAGGCAGGCTCAGTGGTGGCTGGATGCATCTTCCCATGCATCAGCTGGGTAGTTTTCAGACAGCCTGTGCTGAAGTGCAGGTATACTAGTGACAGGACATGTGCTTCAGTCTACAGCTCCAGTAGTTTGAGTACTCACACCCTAGAACTTAGAGTCAGCAGTAATGGTAAGATCCAGACTCATAAGTGTCTTCCCATTAATTGTGTCACATCTGCTCTAGGACTTAGGCTCACTAAGTGGTAGGAAGCATGCTCAAAGGTGAAAGTTCAGGAGATGTGGCACATGTCTAAAGCACATGCTCATTTGTTCTAGGATGTTTGCTTTAGACCATGGGTCTCCAGTGGTGGCAAATATTTTAAACAGTTGGTCCCATGATGGTGAGATGCATGCTCAAGAGAGCAAGTTCAGTAGATGTGGCAGGCATATTCTAAAGCACGGGATCAATAGTGGCAAGATGTATGTTTCAGAGAGTCATCTCAGGAAATGGGCAAATTAGCTTAACATTGCAGTCTCAGTAGTTGAGGAAGGCTGGATCACTATGTTGTGGTGCATGCTCTGGAGAGCAAGCTTGATGGGTGTGGTATGCTGTTCTAGAGCATTAGCTCAGTAGTGGCAAGGTAGGTGTTCAAGAGTGCAAACTCAAGGGTTGTGGTATGGGTGCACTAGAATGCAGGATCAAGAGAGACAGGAAATGTGACTGATTTTAGAAAACAGATACAGTAGTTGTGGCTTTCATGATCTAGAGTGCTGGATTACTAGCAGCATAACAGGTGGTCTACAGTGCTACTTAAACAGTTGTGTAACACATTCTCTAGAGCACTGTCTTCATGGAGGTTTGATTCATGCTTCAGAGTTCTATCTCAGAGAGGCCACACACTTGATCTAGATTGAGGGTTCATTTGTGGGCAGGGTATGTGCTATAGAATGCAGACTCAGTTGTGGTGAAATGTGCACTTCAGAGGACAAGATCAGTGGTTGGCATGCCTGCTCTAAAGCAGGGGTTGTATAGTGCCGGAACACATGTAACAGAGTGTGAGCTAGGTTATTGACAAATGTCAGCTCTAGCAGGTGGGCTCACAAATTTCAACATGCAGGCCACGGAACATTGGCTCAGTAGGTGTCGAATTTATGCACTAGAAGGAAGGTTCACAAGTGCAGAAGGAGTACACCAGGGTGCAAAATCAGTAGTTGCAACCATGGGTACTTTGGGAATGGGGTGAATAGTTGCAGCATGCACGTTATAGAGTGCAAGATGAGTAATTGAAACACATGTGCTGTAAAAAATGTGCTTATGAATTGTGCCACTCCTTCCTTGTATGAGGACTCAGAAGTGATAGAAATGTGCTGTAGCATGTGGACTCATGGTGGTGCAATGCATGATCCAGAGTGCAATTCATTAGATCAAGCCTGCCTGCTCTAGAGCATAGTCTCAGAAGTGTAGTACACTGATCCTAGAAGGCACATTCAGTTGTGGTGGGAGGTAAGATTTTGAGTAAAATCTCAGTAGTGAAAAACACATTGCAATGTCTGTGTGCTCTGTAGTTTTGAGACCTGTGACTCCAGCTGCAAGTTCACTTATTGCAACACGTTCACTAAAGCTTTGATTCAGTATACCCTGGTGGTAATCACCTGAACCGATTCCCAATAGAGCCAATACATGTGCTCCAATGTGCAAGCCACTACTTTCTTCAGCTCAGTTGTGGCAAAAAGTATTTTTCAGAGTGCAAGTTCAGTACTTGTCTTGGCACACCCAATCTAGAGCTCAAGGTCAGTAGTGGACAGACTTGTATTTAAGACAGCATACTAATTACTTATAGCATTCCTGCTTTTAACACAGGTTCAGTAGAAGCGTCACACTTGCTCTAGAATGTAATTACAGTAGTGCAAAAATGGGGGATTCGGAGAGCAGTTTACTAGTGGCAGTAAGCATGTTTTTAGGGTGCAAACTCAGAATTGACAGGTAATATGCTCAAGAACGTCTGCTCAGTAGTGACATGATGTTTGATCCACTCTTCAGGCTCAGTGTATGCAGCACACCTGCTATAATACACAGGCTCAATAGTGGCAAAATAAAACAAAGAAAAATCTCCAGAATGGAAGCTCAATAATGGCAGTACACGTGCTCTAGATTGTGGCCTCAGAAGTGACCAGAGTGTACGATTTTTATTCTGCCATGCCTGATCCTTAGCACATGCTGCATAGAGGCCAGTTGCCTGCATTTGAGCATGTGCTAAGTCGTGATGGTTCAGGTTCTCCACAGTGTCATCCTACTAGTTGCAGCAAATATGCCATGCAGTATGGGACAGTAACAGTAAGACACATGTTTCAAAGCACAAACTGAGTAGTTGTGGGACACATGCTACAGAGGGTGAGCTCAGTAGTGTGTATTCTTGCATGCTGTACATTGTAGGCTCAATATTACTCAGTGGTGCTATAGAAGGCAGGATAATATTGGCCAGATGTCTGCTCTAGAGTACCTGCTAAGTAGTGACAGAAAGCAAGCTCACTGGTTACCATCTGAAAGCTCTAGTATGCGGGTTGAATAGTAGTGTACACACACTCTACAGTTCAAGTAAATTAATTGCAGCATGCATTCTCAAGAGATCAGTCTCAGATGTGATGGAATGTATGTTCCAGAGTGTAAGTACAGTAATTGCAAATGTTTACTCCAAACAGACTCACACGTGGCAGCATGTGAGTGCAGGTTCAGTAGTGATGTGATAGTTTCTCCAGAGTGCAGGGACAGTAGCTTTGGCATATCTGTGCTAGACTACTAGTTCATTAGTGGTGTGATGTCTGAACCAGAGTGATCGCTCAGTAATTGCAACACCATTGCTTCAGAGCACAGTCTCAATAGTGGTGAAATGTATGCTCCTGAGTCTCAGAATAGTCATTGAAAAAGCATAACCTTGTATCTGTGTTGAGCAGATACAGCAAGCCTGTTTAAATTCAAGCTTAGTTGTGGTGTGATATGTGCTGCAGAGTGAAGCTCAGTAATAGCATAAAATGTACTTTAGAGTCAGGGTCCAGTAGCAAAGAGTTGCATGCCCCAGGGTGAAGCTCAGTGCTTGTAGCATAGCACACATAGTCTCAATTGATGGATCACTCTATACAGTCAGCACAAACAAGGTGGGAAGCTGACTGTAATAATAGCACATCCCTATCAGGCCTACCTACAATCAGTTTTGCATGATCTAACAGAGGCATTACAAAATAGAGACCTACAAATTGCCCTCAAATATATCCTCTGGTTACTTATTTAGGGCAAATTCTAGACTCTAAAATGGTGACTCATGTTCCCTCCATTAAAAAAAAAAAATTCATGTGGTGATTCTAAGTAATTATCCCAAATTGCTAGGAGATATTAACTGGATTAGGCCTTATTTAAAATTCATTACTGCTGAATTAAAGCCCTTGTTTAATGTCTTACAAGGTAATTCTGACTCAGCTTCCGAAAAGAGCCTGACCCCTGAAATCGAAAGAGCCCTTGATAAAGTAACAGCTGCCATATATAGAGTCCTGTAAATAGGATTGATACAAGTAAGGTGTGGAAGCTTCTGTGCTTGCCTACTCCTACAGCACGGACTGGTCTATTTATGCAATCAGGACCCCTAGAATGGATACATCTCCCAGCTACAGGTAAAAATATAGTGGCTGAAGACCCTGCATTAATAGGAGCACTAATTATAAAAGGCAAACAAAGGAGGATAAATTCGTTTGGCAAAAAACCTCCTGAGGTTATAATTTCATAAAATAAAATAACACTTCAATGTTTTGCTGCAGTTTAACAAAGTCTGGCAAATTGCCTTAGGACATTATGTAAGGCAAGTTTCATATTATTTGCCCTCTCACTCTTCATTTAATTTCATGGCTGATGTCCCAGAAATTTTCCAAAAAAAAAAAAAAAAAAAACATGTCAAGTCTCCTATACCAAAGTTTGTCAATAGTTTGACAGATGAGTCTTCCGATGGAAAAGCTTCCATAGTTACAGAAACTTAAATTAAAGTGGTATATACCCAAGAAACCTCAGTACAAAGCCTCAAATGACTGCCGTCGGAATGCCCGTTGTTATGTTCCCCAAAGAAGAGTTTATCGTCTACTCTGACTCACAGTATGTTGTCAGACTATTTCCTCATATTGAGAAAGCAGTGCTGCCTAAAAATAAAACCACCCTCTTTCAGTTAATAAGTTGCCACAACAGATTTAGATTCAAAATAAAGCTTTGATGTCAGGCATATTCGAGCTCACTTGAGTCTACAGGGGCCCTTAAATCTTGTAAAGGATTTAGCTGATGCTCTTCCTAAAACAATTGCAATTGACACTGTTACCAAAGCTCGAGCTTCACATGCCCTTCATCATCAAAATGCAACTGCATTGAGATATTTTTCACATTCCCTGAGAAGCAGCTTGAGAAATTGTTCATTACTGTACACACTGCCATACTTTTCTACCTACCTGAGGATTCAGAGTAAATTCTCGAGGATTATTGCCAAATATGCTCTGGCAGGTAGATGTATCCCATGTTCCATCCTTTGATTGCCTTTGTAGGCGATCCTTTGTTCATGTAACCGTGGGCACTTTCCTCATTTTATTATAACTACAGCCAGGAAGAGTGAAGCCTTAAAGAGATAAATTTACGAGTATACTTCCCCTCACCAGGTGTTACAGCATGCCCTCTTTGTACTACATAATATTAATGCTGATTTATTAGGTCACACTGCGAATTTTCAGCATTGGACCACAGAAAAACAGGTCATGAAACCTTTAACCAGGTGGAAGGATCCCCTTTCAGGACAATGGAAGGGGTCTGAGCCACTGATAACCAGCGGATGATGGTACGCTTGTATTTTTCCACAGGATGCAGAGTAAACCATTTACATTTCTGACAGACTGATCCCCCATTCACAATTCCCTGAGGATCCGATGCTTCGATTTCTAGGCCAAAAAGGAGAGAGGGGGACTCCCCCTTCTCCAGCATGGAAACTCCAAAGAAATCAAGCACAGACACCAGAGACTCAAGATAAATATCCACATGAACCTCCCACTAAGCAGATATCACGGTTGTCCTTGAGAGGCCATGCGCAATCTATCCCCTTGTCCCATAGAAAACGCCCAACACGAGCCACCCTATTGGCATCTTGCCCATCCTGGGGACAAATCATGACTGTCTTTTACCCAGCTCAAGACATAGCTGTGTCGACAGGACATGCTCCTAATACTAAAGGGCTTTTCATAGCTATCCTTGCTCTGCTTGCTTGTCAGGTAAATACCTCCTCAGCCACACCTGGGATATATTGGGCCTACTACCCTAACCCCCCTTTTTCCGGGTCGTTACTTGGACCAATAGCCCCATTTGGATCCACACAATCCACCCCATCCTTTGGGCCGATGGTACACTTCATATTTGTATGATCATTATTCTATCAACCTCATTTACTCTTTCTGGGGACTCACTGATGGTCTCCCTTATGTTTCAATTTCCCATCTAATAGAAGTGTAATCACACCCTTAAAGGAAGGGTACTTTGTGGCTTCTAAAAAGGTAATTATCACTGTGTTGCCAGTAAAATTTACAAAACAAAATTCAAAACAACTAGTTTGGGTCCGCCTGGAATTCTTGATCCATACTATTCAACTTTTGTCCAAGCTCCAAAGATATATCAAAACGAAATGAGACTGCCCATTCAGATTATATATATAGAAAATCACTGATGAACAATTAGGCTATCCTATATGGAAATCATGTACTTATAATTCTCAAATCAGTTATAAAATACCAGGAAACAGTAATTACTCTATACAAAAGGGGATCAACTCAAACAATGGGTATCAGCCTAAAGAATCTAGTAACTATATTACAAAATACACTAATTCGTCAAACAAAAATGTCCCCTGGCCACTGGCTCCCAAGAGATGGCATCACATTGAGTTTGTCCCTGCCATGGTATCATTTCCTTTAGACAACCAGACACATTGGCAGACTGAAATATGAAAGGGCTTGCTGCCACTTCCGAGATCACATACATTAGACATAAAAATGCTACTACCTTCTCTGCATTAGCTTGCTTGGCCTCTGTCTATGTTTTCATTCTCACTAATAATGCTAATGATGTACAGATATTTGCTGATTATACTGGATTTCCAACCGTAGTCACTTGAAAGTTATGTATGAGACCCTCTTGTGCCAGCCCCCAATTTCATGTTTGCTTGTTTGTGGTTTTGCAACACTCTCCATATCTTATGGTTGCTGTTAACATTGCTATTCCTTGCTCTGACAATTATGGTTTAGCTGGGCTTCAATAATTACAAGACCTTATGAGAGCTAAGGGTTTGGGAGATGTACTTATCTTTGACATCTTTGCGTTAATATCAGAGATTGCCTCCATTACAGTGGCAGCACTAGCTCTGACTCAACAAGGGCATACAGATCACTTTTATAATAACATCTCAAGAAATGTGTCACTGACTTTAGCTTCTCAAAAATCATAGATCAAAATTAGAGATGGAAATAGATGCTTGGGAAGAAGCTGTAATGCACATAGGAACTGAATTACAAGTATTAACTATAAAATGAGCTCTGTCTTGCCACTCTGATTATTGATTGATCTGTATCACTCACTTGCAAGTTAATGTAACAGACTATAACTGGGAACGGATTAAAAGTCATATCACAGGAATTTGGAATAGCTCCATCAGAAGCTTTGATTGAGAAAACTTATGAAAACAAATCAAAGCTCTAGAGCATTCTTGACAAGACTTCACCACTGCCAGCACAGCAACTAATTTTTTTAATAATCCTTTCAAACTTCGTGACAGGCCAAACCTTTGTCTCCAGCCTAATCAGCTGTGTTGCTATGGTTGCCTTGACCTTACTCATCATACTTTTTCTTCCTTGTTTTGTTAAAAGTTTACTGCACAGCATTCAAAGTGTTGCGACTGAATTTCATCTGCCTGTCTTAAGAAATAAACAGGGAGATATTGGGAGCTGGAAAGAGAAATCTCGGAAGTGACACAGTCTGGGTTCAAGGACCTGGCACACAATGTTGTGCGGACCTCCGGGACAGCTCCACATGCAAATCATCGCGACTTCTGGATGTTTCTCAGGATTGCCCCACAATCCACTCTCATGCCTTCCGCCTTGCATCTTCTGATGGTTGATGTTCTTCTAGGTTCCCAAAAAACTGGTCTGACTCTTACTTCAAATCCCTCTTTGCATGGCAGCAACACAGTCCATGGGGGCACATGGGTCCTAATAAACAGGTCTATATACTTCATAAGCAAATGTCAATAGAGTCCATTACGAGATTGGGAAGATTCCTGAGGGTGTGATCAGCAGGGGATTCATGAGAATTTTGACCTTTAGGATTATATACAAAAGCTAAGTCAGCCCGGGTCTGAGCCTCCCAAGATAAGATTTATAGATGGTTTTTCACAGTTGACTAGCTACTGCCCTTGAATTGTTGAAAAGTTATGCGTAGGTATTGACTGATCCAGAAAGTTATTTATGATGTCACCCATGATTAGGCACCTGGTACAATCTTATCATTGATCCTTCCTTAAAGATCTTTAAAGGATTGTTGATTGTAGGGTACATAAGCACTGATGTAAAAGAACATAGTAGTCTTGATTCTGCACTCAACCAAGACTGGACCCAGTTTTCTATACTTATACAGACACTGCTTATCCCAAGGGAAAGAATGGAGTTCACCAGGGCTGAGACCCTGAAGCATATAAGAAAGTAAATGAAGAAAACAAAGCATAGATATGAAATGGTAATGAGGAAGATAAAGATATATATATATATATCACCATAAGTGGAAAGAAATTGTAGGAAAGGCAAAGGAAAGAATCTATGTAGAAAAAATGTAACTGTTTTAATAAATAAATAAATAAATGGATAATAAGTGGTGAGAATGGAAAAAGACAATAAAAAGTAGAAAATAAAACAAAACTCTACAGAGCAGCAAAGATCAACTTAGACACATAGTTCTAAAACGACAATAAAGTAAAATAAACGACATCAATTGGCAGAATGAACAAAGGAAACCGAAAGTTTATCTACAAGAATAAAACTAACTAAAGCACAAACGTGGAAACAAATAAGACAATTAAAATAAATCTAACAAATATGTTGAGAGGAAAGAGAAAAGGATAGATACGACATCTTAAACAGAGAGAGAAAAGATGATATTTTAGGTAAAGATTAACTACAAAGTGGGGGGGAAGAGTACGAGAAACAAACAGAGGAATAAATGTTGATAACAGAATTAGGGGGATGACAAACTGTCAAATTAAATTTAAATAAGACTGAGAAAGAAAACGGAAAAGAATGAAAAGATTATTCTACAGAAATGCAAAAGGCGAACAAAAACTAAAAGTTTTATAACAGGATTAAAATTGTCACAGGAAAAGGAAAAACAAAAAAAAAAGCTTAAAAGCTTCATTTGATTTCATATTGGACATAACATTGACAACTACTCCAATGGTGGTGAGGGCGGGAAGAAAGAAAAAAACAATCCAAAAGAATCTACAGAGCATGTCAAAACAGAAGAATAATATACGTTTATCTTGAGTCACTTGTGTCAGAGTCCTATTCCTAACTTGTATTCACACACCACCTCACATGCCTCGGGTACCCTACATCAGTGTGTTGATCTCTGGGCCTGATGACGGGGCACTTATATTCTAATCTGGTCCAGCTCATTTGTGTTCTTGCCTCTGATATCCACAGCTCTCAGAACTAGTGCATTTTCTGTTGTTATTGTTGTTGTTGGTTGGTTGATTGGTTGGTCTGCAGGTGGGGTCTCTCAATGACTTATTTATATAATCCATAGACACAGAGTCTTCCTAGGTGATAATGTGGATTTAATCTGCAGTTGGTACACCTGGTAGGTAGGTTCTGGGTCTTCTTCCTTAGCTATACTGATGCTGAATTTCAATTGGGGTTTTACATCTATCTCTGCATAGATAGATAGTTTGTCCATGGGGGTTTGCTCCTGAGGTTGCCTGGAGTCCTTGGGTTTGCCAATTTGAGTGCCAGGTGTGGAGGTGGTGCAACAGATTGGGTCACAGAGGGTCTGGCAAGTGCCAGATGCTCAGTAGTTTGGCAATAAGGACAGCAGGTAATATAGTGCTCTAAAAGGGCATCACAATCCATATTGGCAAATACACTCCAGGACTCTTGCATGGAGAATCTCCTCCCTGATAGAGAATCCTGCCACAGTCTCCAGGGTAGAAGGGAATCTGACAATCCTGAGTGAAACTGAGAGTAAAGACGGACGAGTATTTTGACCATGGCAGCTCTGCCCAAGTGAGAGTTGAGCATGAAGTCGACCCAGCTGCTTGGCGTGCAGGGACCCTGGCAGTTCAACGTGTACAAGGATTTTGACTGCCTCCACTGCAGGAATTAAAGACCTGTCAGAATTTTTATTTGAGCCTACTGTAGCTGGCATTCAGAAGGCCTCTTTGGCTAGTCTTTGTCTGTAGACCCATGCCTTCAGGCCCTTCGAGGGCTTTCCTGTCTAGGGTCGTTGTCTGTTTATCAGCATGTCAGGCACATAGATGGGGAACCCCAGTCTGGGGTCCATCTGTCCTTTGGAGCATTAGGCACTTAAAGGTGCCTGGGTGGAGTCTTACTCTCTAGTTCAGTAATTCAAGTGCTTGATTGGCCAACCTGTCTTTTATTCAGCTGTGATGCAGGCGGGTGGGATGAGAGAGGCTGTCCCCATGGCTCCACCTCTTATACATGACTCAGCAGTGTCACCCTCCTCCCATGGCTGCCTGGATTACCTACACAGGCTTTTCCCATATGATCTCCTCATTGGAACATCCCATCAATTTGTCTTGAACCACTAGGCAGCAGACCATGGCTAGGGATGTCTCCACAATCCCTAAGAACCGTCTGCTTCCTGCTGCATGTTTTAAAGGACCTGTGTCCCTCTCTGGGGTGTGAATGACTGTGGAAAAGACTGTCTCATTCTCATCCCCTCAAAGCTGCCACAGATCAGCTGTTTCACTCTCAGCCTTAAGTGTTTCTCCTCTGATACAGACAGTTGCTCCCATGTGGAGATCGCACACCTACTTCAAGTCTCCCACCCCCTGAGGGCAGATCCAATCGTACTAACACGCATGTCTCCTCCCCCCACACCAGTTATTTCATTCTCCTGATTATTTCTCGTTCCAACTATCCTTTTTCTCTGTTCAGGGAGTCCTGTCTGCTCTCAGTGGATGTTCTGAAGATGTATTACTAATGGATGAGTAGAGAGAGATATACTCCTTATAACCCTCCACCTCCAACATCGTGTTCTTCTCAACTTTTTGACTGTTAGAAATAAGACTACTGTGAACATTCAGGTTTGTCCTAGGTAACTAAGCAACAGTGCACTGCAGGAAGACAGCACCTCATGGAAACCACAGGAAATCCCACTATGTCAACAAAGACTGCCCCCCAGGGGTACATCTCTGGCTGGCTGACCCTTCTAGTCCATTAGGAACAGAGGGACTCTGGTGAAGCACACAACTCATTCCTCTATCCTCCAGAGCCAACAACCTCAAAGAGAGAACTTGCAAACTAGATGGGTAGGCATGATAACTCAGTGATTCCTCCAAGAGGCTGGACATTTGTGGTAGCTATTCATGGAAATGAATTCCACCATTGTCACAACTGTGAGGAGACACGCAAAGAAGCTTCTGCAGGGAAAACAGGATGAGAAGTAATTTGTGATGGCACATGTTGAGAAGACCTGTGCATGTGAGGCTCACACACCACAGGGCAAGCTGCACCCCTTCTTTCCTGGGAATACTAGTCAGTCGCTGGCTGTCATTTCCTTCTTGGGGTCATACAGCACAACGCCAAGCATGCATTTGTCTGCCTCATCTGCATCACCATGTTAAACCCAAGCATGGATATTGCATCTGGGGAGGTGACAATTATTCCTAGAATTGAAACAAGACAGAGACAGAGCAAGTGTATGTATTCAGGGCATTCTCACAACTGAGGACAGGGATTTTAGACCGGAGAATAGAAAACTGAGGGGAGCAAGATGAAGACTGAGAAAAGGAGATGCGATGGAAAATGTTTCTCGTAAGTGGCCCAGAATGGAACGGCCTTCAAGGTGCATTTCCTCCTACCTGTTGTATGAGGAAAGTGAACTTATTCACATTTCCACAGCCAAGTCATGATGGATATTTTTGAGACAAGAAAATAAAAAGTAGATAATAGTGTAACATGAGAGAAACTCGAATGAAAGGCTGAAACATGTCTGTGAGGCAAGGTTTGGTGGAGACACACTCTCCCTGCCATGTGGCCCATCTGTGTTGACACAGAGAGATGAGGATGGCAGGTGAGTTTGGCGGGTTCTTTTGGATGAAGAAAAATGCCTCATTTCTCCCAGCAACTCAACTGAGTTGCTCCCCATGCACCCACAGAGTTCTCAGGATGAGGCTTTGTGATGTCAAGGCTGGGGGAAGGCTGCCATTTGGACTTCGTGACCTCATAATCACAAGGGTGTGGTCCCCTATGTATAGGGGTGTTCAGGGCCTCTCGAGCAGACCACTGGGAGTCTTCAAAATGACCAGGGTGGCCTCACTGTCCTTACCCTGTTGGGAGCACCGTGGCATCTGAGGAGATGTGTGAGGTTGTAATGGTTGTTAACAAGAGGCAAAACAAGAAAGGGAAGATGGAGAATTTGGTTTGGTGGAAAGGCTATGGCAGGGAGGAAGCCAGCTGAAAGCCAGATTAGCACCTGGTGAACTATGAGGAGTGCATCCACTTCAACTGGCACTGCACCAAGAAGCCAAGGAGGGCATCTTCACCAGAGCCAAGCGGACCTCCCCAAACAATGGCCGGAAGCAGATCTCCAGATCCACCAACAGCAGCTTCTCCAAGGCCACCCCCAAGGCCCTAGTGGTAGGCAAGGAGCACAAGGCCAAGAGCAGCCTGCTGTTTACCACCAGCCAGAAGTTCCAGAAGAGTCCAGGGCACGGCCTGGCCACCTACAGGGACATGGACGTGGCTCGGTCAGTCAACAAGATTCCCATGCCCAAGAGCCCCGTAAAGAGTGGGACTGTGCAGGACGGCTTTCATGATGAGAGCCCCGAGAAGCTGGACCCCATGGAGCAGGGGTCGGAGGACATAGCAGCCCCAGAGGTGGTGGCTGAGAAGCCGATCGGGGCCCTACTGAGCCCAGGGGTGGAACCAGTGCAGATGGGGAGCTGGCCCTGGATATACCTGTTGTTGCCGAAGGCGTTGGCCCGTGAAGTCCACCATGTCCACGGGTCTAGCCGTGAACGGGAATGGCATCTCCCGGTTCATGGCCTTGCTGATGACCAATTGCACGAGCCCACTGCAGACGTCAGTTATGAGCGTGAAAGCTGGGAAGAAGAAGTTCATCAAGGATAGGCGAGACCAGCCCTTTGCCAAGCGGCTGCGCTTCAGCGTGCGACAGAGGGAGAGCGCCTACAGGTACCGGGACATCGTGATCTGGAAGCAGGATGGCTTCACCCTCATCCTGGTGTCCACCATGTCATCCAAGAGCAACTTGCTGAACCCGGAGGTGATGAAGGAGATGCAGAGCATGCCGAACATGGCTGACGCTGATGACAGCAAGCTGGTGCTGCTCAGGGCCATGGGCAGCCTCTTCTGCTAGGGCCAGGACTTCCTTTATTTCATCCGGCGCCTGCCGGATGACCGCAAGAGGGAGAGCTCCAGGATGGCCGAGGCCAACAGAAATTTTGTGAACACCTTCATCCAGTTCAAGAAGCCTATTGACGTAGCTGTGAATGGCCGGCCATTCGGCTAGGAAAATCCATCCTGCCTTTCTGTGATGTGGTCTGGGCCAATGAAAAGCCAAAGATCCAGACACCCTATACTACCTTCGGACAGAGTCCAAATGGCTGTTCCATCGTCATGTTCCCCAAGATTATGGGAGGAGCACCTGCCAAGGAAATGCTTCTCAGAATGCGGAAGCTAAGGGCACAGGAGGCCTGCGACAAAGGACTGGACTCACAGGTGTTCTGGCCTGGGACCTTCAGCCAGGAAGTCATGCTTCGCATCAAGGAGCTCGCCTCTTGCAACTCCGACGTGCTGGAGGAATCCAAGGCCCTTGTGTGCTGCAACATAAGGCTGGAGCTGGAGCAGGCCAATGAGTGAGAGTGTGAGGTGCTCAGGAAGATATGGGGCTCCGCACAGGACATGGACTCCATGCTCAAGTACGTGAAGAGCAAGATCGACAAGTTCTGACATTGACTAAATCGGACCAAGTGTTCTAAATGCTTTTAGTTGATCCCTATGATAAAACGTCTTAAAACAAATTCGTTTAAAATTTTCTTGACATGTACCTAAGTTGGGTTGCTTCAGAGGGCCCCTGGGACCTCCCAAGGAGCTATTAAACTATCTGAGTTCATTTGACATGTTCAATTGCAAGGGAATTATTGTTGGAAGTGTGCTAAATAGTCTCAGGTTGTATTATATGTTTGTTTGTACTTATATAGATATCCTAAAGACTAAGTAAAATTCATGAAAATCTGATATGTCCTGGTAACATGTTGTCAGTTGTAGTTTTAATTATCCTGATCAAGCGTTACAAGTCACAACAATGACTAGGGTACTTTGTCAAATGCCCTGTATGTTTTGACTCTCAGACATAGAGAAGAACACTGCTCGTTCAAGATTTATAAGAAAAATAAATAAAGCACTTTTCTAAGATTAACAAAAAAATGTTCTTTGTTTGCGCTCTGCTAAATTGGTAACAGACTGAAATTTCATCTGCGCTCCTTGTGAAGTGAACAGGTTTCTAAGAACAAATCATTCAATAACAGATTATAAATTTCTTTGCCTTTAAGTGGTTTATAGATGTTTTAAATTTATTTGTTACCTTAGTAAAGTAAATAAGTGTTATCTACGATTATGATACATGCAAAAGCTCATTCTGCTTTTACCCAAAATAAGCCCTCACTGTTAGACTTGTTTTATCCTAATGTCTTAACCCTGACAATGCCAATACCTACACTTCTAAATCTTTTCAAGTCTTTTGTACATGGTTTCATATAAGATATAAACAGGTATATTTAATTCATTATATGGATGATATCCTAATATCACAGCCCAATCAGGCCTACCTACAATCAGTTTTGCATGATCTAATAGAGGAATTACCAAATAGAGGCCTACAAACTGCCCCTAAATAAACCCTCTGGTTACTTATTTAGGACAAGTTCTAGACTCTATGTTGGTGACTCATGTTCCCATACAATTAAAAAACATGTACATTTGGTGACTGTAAGTGATCACCCCAAATTGCTAGGTGATATTAACGGATTAGGCCTTATTTAAAATTCATTACTGCTGAATTAAAGCCCTTGTTTAATGTCTTACAAGGAAATTCTGACCAACCTTCTGCAAAGAGCCTGACCCCTGAAGCTCGAGGAGCCCTTGATAAAGTAACAGCTGCCGTATCTAGAGTCATGGAAATAGCATTGATTCAAGTAAGGTGTGGCAGCTTTTGTGCTTGCCTACTCCTACAGCATGGACTGGTGTATTTATGCAATCAGTACCCCTAGAATGGATACATCTTCCAGCTACAAACAAAAAGATAGTAGCTGACAACCCTGCTTTAATAGCAGCACTAATTATAAAAAGCAAAAAATGGAGTATAAATTCATTTGGCTAAAAACAACCTGAGGTTATAATTTCATGAAATAAAATAACAATTCAATGCTTTGCTGCAGTTTAACGAAGTCTGGCAAATTGCCTTAGGACATTATGTAAGGAAAGTTTCACATTATTTGCCCTCTCACTCTTCATTTAATTTCATGGCTGATGATCCAGCAATTTTCCAAAAAAAAAAAAAAAATGTCAAGTGTCTCCTATACCAAAGTCTGTCAATAGTTTGACAGATGAGTCTTCCGATGGAAAAGCTTCCATAGTTACAGAAACTCAAATTAAAGTGGTTTATACCCAAGAAACCACAGGCCAAAAGCCTCAAATGACTGTAATTGGAATGCCCGTTATGTTCCCCAAAGAAGAGTTTATCGTCTACTCTGACTCACAGTATGTTGTCAGACTATTTCCTCATATTAAGACAGCTGTGCTGCCTAAAACTAAAGCCACCCTCTTTCACTTACTGTCTAAGTTGCAACAACAGATTTAAATTCAAAATAAAACCTTTATGTCGGACATATTCGAGCTCACTTGAGTCTACAGGGGCCCTTAAATTGTGTAAAGGATTTAGCTGATGCTCTTCCCGAAACGATTGCAATTGACACTGTTATGGAATCTTGAGTTTCACAAGCCCTTCATCATCAAAATGCAACTTCATTGATATATCAGTTTCACATTTACTGAGAGACAGCCTGAGAAATTGTTCACTACTGTACACACTGCCCTACTTTTCTACCTACCTGAGGATTCAGAGTAAATTCTCGAGGACATTTGCCAAATACGCTCTGGCAGGTAGATGTAGCCCATGTCCCATCCTTTGATCACCTTTGTAGGCTATCCCTTGTAAATATGACCAAGGACACTTTCTCTCATGTTATTATAACTACAGCCAGGAAGTGTGAAGCCTTTAAAGATACAAATTTATGAGTATATTTCCCCTCACCAGGTGTTACAGCATGCCTTCTTTGTGCTATATAATCTTAATGCTGATTTGTTGAGTCACACTGCAATTTTTTGGCATTGGACCACAGAAAAACAGGTCATGAAACCTTTAATCAGTTGGAAGGATCTCCTTTCAGGACAATGGAAGGGCTTGAGCCACTGATAACCAGCAGATGATGGTATGCTTGTATCTTTCCTCAGGATGCAGTCACCCATTTACATTTCTGACAGACTGATCCCCCATTCACAATTTCCCGAGGAGCCGATGCCTTGATTTCTAGGCCAAAAAGGAGAAAGGGGGCCTCCCCCTCCTCCAGCATGGAAACTCCGAAGAAATCAAGCACAGACACCAGAGACTCCAGATGAATATCTGCATGAACCTCCCACTACGTGGATATCACGACTGTCTTTTAGAGACCATGAACAATCTTTCCCCTTGTCCCAAAGACAACGTCCAACACGAGCCTCCCAACAACCTTCTCGCCCAACCTGGGGGCAAATCATGAATGTCTGTCACCCAGCTCAAGACATAGCTGTGTTGACAGGACATGCTCCTACTCCTGAAGACGTTTTCATAGCTATCCTTGCTCTGCTTGTTTGTCAGGTAAATACCTCCTCAGCCACACCTGGGGTATATTTGCCCTATTACCCTAACCCCCCTCCATTCCAGGTCATTACTTGGACCAATAGCCCCATTCGGATCCACACAATCCACCCCATCCTTTGGGCCCATCGTACACTTCATATTTGTATGATCATTATTCTATCAACCTCATTTACTCTTTCTGTGGACTCACTGATGGTCTCCCTTTATGTTTTAATTTCCCATATAATAGAAGTGTAATCACACCCCTAAAGGAAGGGTACATTGGGGCTTCTAAAAATGTAATTATCACTGTGATGCTACTAAAAATTACCAAATAATATTCAAAACAACTAATTTGGGTCCTTGAAGCTCAATTGCCTGGAATTCTTGATCCATACTATACAACTTTTGTCCAAACTCCAAAATATATCAAAATGAAGTGAGACTGCCCATTCAGATGATATATGGAAAATCATTGATGAACAATTAGGCTATCCTATATGGAAATCATGTACTTATGATTGTCAAATCAGTTACAAAATACCAGGAAACAGTAATTATTCTATACAAGAGGGGAGCAACCAAAACCGAGGGTATCACCCTAAAGAATCTAATAACTATATTACAAAATATGCTAATTGGTCAAACAAGTCTGTCCCCTGGAAACTGGCTGCCAAGAGATGGCGTCACAATTAGTTTGTCTCTGCCATGGTATTATTTCCTTTAAAGAACCAGACATATTGGCAGCCTGAAATATGGAAAGCTCTTGCTGCCACCTCCGAGATCACATTAATAAGACCTGAAAATGCTAGTACCTTCTCTGCATTAGACTGCTTGTCCTCTCCCTATGTTTTCATTCTCACTAACTAATGTACAGATATTTGCTGATTATACTGGATTTCCAACCGCAGTTACTTGTAAGTTATGTGTGCTATCCTCTTGCGTCAGCACCCGATTTCCTTTTTTCTTGTTTGTGATTTTGCAACACCCTCCATATCTTATGGTTGCTGTTAATGTTACTATTCCTTGATCTGACCATTGTGGTTTGGCTGTGCTTCAACAATTACAAGACCTTATGAGACCTAAGGTTTTGGGAGATGTACTTATCTTGGCAATCTCTGCATTGATAGCCGTGATTGCCTCCATTACAATGGCAGCAGTTGCTCAGACCCAACAAGGGCATACAGATCAATTTTATAATAACTTCTCAAGAAATGTGTCACTGTCTTTAGTTCCTCAAGAAATCAAAGATCAAAAACTAGAGATGGAAGTAGATGCTTTGGAAGAAGCTGTAATGCACATAGGAACTGAAGTACAAGCATTAACTCTAAAATGAGCTATGTCTTGCCACTCTGATTATCGATGGATCTGTGTCACTCACTTGCAAGTTTATGAAACAGACTATAATTGGGAACATATTAAAAGTCATATCACAGGAATTTGGAATAGCTCCATTATAAGCTGAGATTGAGAAAACTTATGAAAACAAATCAAAGCTCTAGAGTATTACAGACAAGACTTCACCGCTGCCAGCACAGCAACTGATCTTTTCAAAATCCTCTCAAACTTCATGACAGGACAAACCTTTGTCTCCAGCCTAATGAGCTGTGTTG